ATGGTTTATATTAATGGAATAAAGTTACAGTATTGCGCCTTTGTAAAATGCGTTATTGCCTTTGGATACTTGAATTTTTGAATGGAACATCCTTCAAACGTATGACCATATCTCCATATGGCGTTACGTCAGGTGCATAAGTGTTAAACCCATATACATGTATGTTTTGTTGAACGCAACTCATACGTTTATGTAAAAAGACAAAAAAAGTGTTCTCCAATTTTTACCCTTCACCCTTTCGTTATTTAGACGAAACCAAATTTCTAATATAATAATTTATCAAATTTCAAAAGAAATTAAACCATTGCATGATCAATAAATTCTGCAAATTTTGATTCTATATTTTCTACTATTTTGCTCATGTTTGTACGCTTTCCTTTTATGATCGACGCAGGGGCTAAGGGAAGTAATACATCACTTAACAGCGGGCGAAGTGATATTATATTTACCTCCCTTGCTATCAGATAAAACAAGTAATTTTACATCATCTATTCGCATAATTTTATATCACAGACAAGAATAATTCAACCAGTTTTATAACATATTTGATCATTTTCTGAAAACGAAAACATGATTTATGGATCTGCATCATGAAAATCATCTTGAAAAATATGAAGATGTTGTTATTTGTTTTTTTTTCTTCAAAAAAATACTATATTTATCAATATCCTCTAAATTGTGATATAGAGGATATTCAAATACGCCTTTTATTTCATCAATAATTCATTTATAAGTATATAATTAAAATATTTATTAGTTGAAACAAATTTTAACCGAAAAAAGCAGAACAAGAAAATAAACAAAACAGGCGAAAATAACAATGAAAGGTCCACATAACATCGTCATGCACACGTGAGGCATATGAGAATAATTATTATATTGTAGTTTAAATTGTCATAAGGTTTATAGAGCGAAGTACTATACATGTATATACCACATATACAAATATTTATTATATTTGAATAATATAAACTGCATACCTCATATACAAATATTTATTATATTTATTATATTTCAATAATATAAACTGCATACCTCATATACAAATATTTATTATATTTCAATAATATAAACTGCATACCTCATATACAAATATTTATTATATTTCAATAATATAAACTGCATACCTCATATACAAATATTTATCATATTTCAATAATATAAACTGCATACCTCATATACAAATATTTATTATATTTCAATAATATAAACTGCATACCTCATATACAAATATGTATTATATTTCAATAATATAAACTGCATACCTCATATACAAATATTTATTATATTTCAATAATATAAACTGCATACCTCATATACAAATATTTATCATATTTGAATAATATAAACTGCATACCTCATATACAAATATTTATCATATTTGAATAATATAAACTGCATACCTTAAATATACAAATATTTATTATATTTGAATAATATAAACTGCATACCTCATATACAAATATTTATTATATTTCAATAATATAAACTGCATACCTCATATACAAATATTTATTATATTTCAATAATATAAACTGCATACCTCATATACAAATATTTATTATATTTCAATAATATAAACTGCATACCTCATATACAAATATTTATTATATTTCAATAATATAAACTGCATACCTCATATACAAATATTTATTATATTTCAATAATATAAACTGCATACCTCATATACAAATATTTATTATATTTCAATAATATAAACTGCATACCTCATATACAAATATTTATTATATTTCAATAATATAAACTGCATACCTCATATACAAATATGTATTATATTTCAATAATATAAAACTGCATACCTCATATACAAATATTTATCATATTTGAATAATATAAACTGCATACCTCATATACAAATATTTATTATATTTCAATAATATAAACTGCATACCTCATATACAAATATTTATCATATTTGAATAATATAAACTGCATACCTCATATACAATTATTTATTATATTTGAATAATATAAACTGCATACCTCATATACAAATATTTATTGTATCATAGTTTGGGGACCTTTCTGTCGAAAATGTGTCAGAGTTAAATCGTATACATATACATGCACAGTGCGTTTAACTCCAGAGCATGCCCATTGATTGGCTCATTTTTGCTGGGGTTTACATATTGCGACGGCAGAGGAAGGGAAAGCGACAGAAATATCACATTCAGATGTTCGTTCATTGGTTCATTTTTCCCGGGGTAACATATTGTGACAACAGGGAACGTGTTTTTATGTTTGACTATGATACAAAAGAGAAAGAACATCAAAACACTCGGCAATCTGATTAATACTCGTGGGGCTACGCCCCCTCGTACAAATCAGATAGCCTTGTGTTTCGATGCTCTTTCTATTACTTATATTTGAATAATATAAACTGCATACCTCATATACAAATATTTATTATATTTCAATATTATAAACTGCATACCTCATATACAAATATTTATCATATTTGAATAATATAAACTGCATACCTCATATACAAATATTTATCATATTTGAATAATATAAACTGCATACCTCATATACAAATATTTATTATATTTCAATAATATAAACTGCATGAAATATGACCATAAAAAACTATTTGAAAGATAAAATTGCGAATTATTGGATAAATGTCCAACATTAAAACTTGGCGTTTATTTTCATTGATTGAAATGTCAAAAATATACATGTACTCTGACCGATATATCAAACAAATCATTACCGGCACGTTTTTTCTCGTCAATTTAATTTCGTCTCATTTCACACGATTTGTTCGTGCACCTCGTGCACATAATTTGCTCGTGAAACGCGTGCGTCTATACACGTTTTGCTCGAGCAGTCCGTGTAACTGGACACGTTTTTCTCATGAATCAGGCTATTTTATCGGAAAAACTTTCACATGTACATTGATGTACATGTTTTCTGGATATATTGCACTAGGGGTCACTCAGTTTATATATGAAAATAATTTGAATCTTCTTTTATGAAACTGCAATGTCTAGAGCTTATATATTTGACATGCAGCATTGCCAAGTGGACCTCTGCATAAGTTATACAAGTCATGTCCATGGGCTGCCATGGAGGTCACTTAGTCTACATAGACTTGAATAGTAAAGATGTCTCAAACATCTTCTCTAAAAGTACAATACAGAGCTCAGATATTTTTCATATAGCATCATCGTATTGGTTATATAATTCATACTCCTAGTGTTAAAAAATGGCCCGCCATAGGGGTCACTAAGCTTACATAGGCTTACATAGAAAACTACAGTTAAGTTTTTTTAGACTGCAGTGCCCGTGATTACCCAGAGCTTAGATATTTGGCATGCAGCAATGCCAAGTGAAATTATACTTAATATGTATGAATCATGGCCCTGGGGTCAAAAAATTGGCCCGGCACCAGAGGTCAGATAGTTGATATAGACTTGTAGAGTAAAAATGTCTTAAAAGACATCTTCTGAGCAACTACAATACCTATAAACTAGCGTACGGGACGTCGGTGGTTCTACTCAGGTGCCCGTTCGTGCCTGAAATAATTCAAGAAAGGGCACCTGGGGTCGCCATAATTATGATTTGTACTGTGTCGGTGTGACGTAAAACCCAATTAAGAGGTTACACCCTGTGGCCTCTACAAAAGCTTTTATTAATCTTTTTCCTGAGATCAATTTGATCCTGCCCCGTTCTTTTAATTTATGTTGACTTGTTTAATACAAATATCTTAAAAGACTTCTCTTGAGAGACTACAATGCTCAGAGTTTGGATATTTAGAAAGAAGCATTACCTTGTGGAGTTCTATACAAAAGTAATGTAAATCATGTCCCTGAGGTCAAAAATTAGCCCCGCTCAGGCCGGGGGTCACTAAGTTTTTATATAGACTTGTATAGGAAAAACGTGACAGTTTTCTTTTGTGAAAAACAATCCCAAAGCCTTATATTTGAGAGCCGTCCGCGTAGCTCAATGGGTAGAGCGTTGTTGGACTGTGAATCGGGCAGCCCGGGTTCGTTACATGACGGTGCAGGTCACTTTCGTAGTGATTGTCTACAGTCATATAACTCCTGTCTGGCATGTGCAGATGTTATCAGTTCCTTGCAAAAGTGAAGACAAATAGTACTGCTTAACTGCTTGACAGTATGCCAAGGAACGATGCGGCGGCTAAATTGTGCTCTGGTAAATTCAATGTTGCTTTCTTGAAAAGTACCAACACCACCACACCTAAAACATCTGTAAAAAGTGATACTAGTCATGCCACTGGGGTCAAAAATGGTCATACACTTGGGACACTTAGTTTACATAGACTTGTATAGTGAAAATGTCTTTAAAATCTTCTATAAATATTTTTTAAATTACTAGTATGCAGCTTAATTGTGTAAAGCGTGTTCACTTTGCTGACTTTAACATTCTAAAATAAAAACTATGACTTTTCCTGAGCGATTCAGTGCCATCATGGCCCTCTTGTTTACTTTACATACAGATATGTATAAAGCTATCATGCTGACGAAATGTTGGTACATTAACGATAAAGACATAAAAAATACAGACTAATAGTTCTTTGTTCATAAAAACTGCATCTGCACATTTCACAGCTAGCAACAGCTATGTAGATCTACTCGGTAGAGTGCTTCTTCAAATAATTAATATTAAACGTATTTGAAAAGTAATAAAATAGCAAAACAAACGTATTTATATATCTTGCATTACCAAGTGAACAATGAAAAAAATAACCGAAACTTTTCAACTTTGCTACAGATTATCTCTGTGAGAAATCAATTAAAGATCCTGTAACACATTTTTTATGATTTTATATTAACAAATATGATGCTCAAATTAAGATTTATCAATATTGTAAGTTCCAAAAAGCATTATTTATTTCAGAGATCAATTATAAAAGATCGATTTCAGAATTTATTCTACGCGAACAGCATAATTTTCAATTTGAGAATTTATTCTACTAGAACTTTATTCTACGCGAACTGCATACTTTTTAACCAAGCATGCCTATAACTTGCACAGTCGGTTTCCACTGACGCTATCTTTTTATTTATTTATTTTCTTAAATTGTTTACGCTAATAAAAAGTAAACAATCATGTATAAACCTTCAACAATTGTGTTTTTTGTTTTTATTGCTTCTTTTTTGGCAGCACCGCTAATTTACACTCTGGATAAACTGGTGTTAATGGAAAGCTCGAAGTGGGTATTTTTGGCAGGAGTTATTGTTCTTCCATTGTTTGGACTACTGAGCACACTTTTCGTCCAACAACATGAAGGAAAAAACGAAACTCTTTATTATGGTAAATAGTTTGAAATAGATCCCTGGCTAATTGGTTAAAGAATAACTTTTTTTTGCAATGATGTTGTTTTTATGATGTTGAAATATCTCTACCAGACCTTGCATAGCCTACACTACAGTATAGATGTTTTGTATGCAGCAGGTACTTTACAGGCTTTTGTGTTACACAGGGATATCCAACCTCATTTGGGAATTTGGTGGCCAGGGGATTGTGTGAAATTTCAGGAATGCTTAACCTCTTGAACGTTAAAACTGACACAGGGTGAGAAAAATGTGGAGCCTGACTGGGACTTGAACCTGGGGGACCCCTAAATAGTGAAGAGTTCTGAACCATGACATACTGACTCCCCTGCTATATTGAGATTCGTCCCTGAATTACTCGGGGTTACAGAGCAATGCTAATTAAACTCTGAACTATATCCAGTTATGGTCCCCCGTTGGGCGCAAATGTCACAGGGTGAGAAAAATGTGCAGCCTGACCAGGACTCATACCCTGGACCCTCGGAATACCGTTCCGCAGCTGTACCGACTGAGCTATCTGGCCGCTTACACAACTTCTCCCCTAAATAGTCAACAGTTCTTAACTGTGACACAACTTTAATGATGAAGGAAGACATCTAATGCCCCCTCCATGCATTAATTTGTATTTAAGGCACAAGCTGATGCCCGAGTAGATCTAGATAGAATCAGGGTTGTTAATAAGCTAGCAGGATAGCTTCCTCACATAAATTTAATAATTCAAAGTCTTTAGCAGGATTCAACCAACAGCAATGAGGAGCAAGATGTTTGAAGTAAACAAGCTGTGCCACTCGGCCAACAACTTCCAATGAACAAATTAAATGATGCTTTTTGCGACAGGTTTTTAATTTATATACTAGTAGTAGTATACGTTTGTTTATGATAAAATACATTTGTTTGCAATTCTTTTAATAAATAATGGTTGTTTTACTTCTAGTTGATAATAAGTTTATATTTATTGCATGATTTCAGTTTGGTGTATTTTTTCGTTTACTGCTGTTGTTGATCTGTTTATTGGACTTGAACTTGATGGGTTTGTGAAAGGATTTATGGAATTTTATCTTAGGGAAGGTGAGCCATATCTACGCAGTTCTTACGGTACTTCTATCAACTGGTGGGATGGAACCGGACATTTTTTAATGTATCTCGGTCTGATATACCTGCTAGTGAGTGGGTAAGTATGGAAATTTATTATCATTTATACATGTAATTTAGAAAGAGCATCAAAACACGAGGCTATCTGATTTGTACAAGGGGGCATAAAAACATGTTCCCTGTTGTCATAATATGAAACCCCGGAAACGAGCATCTGAATATGATAGTTCTGTCGCTTTCCCTTTCTCTGCCGTCACAATAAGTAAACTCCAGCAAAAAAGAGCCAATTAATGAGCATACTCTGGAGTGCGGGTAACTAATACCTACATGTCGAAATAGCCCGCCGGGAGTCACATGTATGCACTCCAGTTAACTCACTGTGCATGTATATGTATATGATTTAACTCTGACACATTTTCAACAGATAGGTCCCCAAACTATGATACAATTAAATGATATGTCTTGGAGCTTATAAATACATTACATATGTGTTATTTTTACTACCGATTTTAACAGTTTCTATGTTATTTTCAATACATATTTCATAGGCGCCATCCGGTTAGCTCAATAAGTACAGCATTAGACTCTGAATCTGGCGACCTGGTTTTGATTCATGAATGTGCAGGTCACTTTCATTGTGGTTGATCATGAAATCCTTTCTACTGTCATTCACAATGTATCTCTGCTTTGGCATGTACAGAAGTAACAGTTCCTTGCAAAAGTGAAGGCAACTAGTACTGGTAAAGTGCTCGACAACCTGTCCAGCAGAAACTATGCAGTGGCTGAACTGTCCTCTGGTAAATTCAATTTGGCTTAGTGCCGTGATCCGTAGTGAAAACTACCAACACCACACTACATATTTCAATGATGTCTGTGGAATATATTACATGTATGCACAAGCAATATGTTATTATCACAACATATTTTACTTATCCTTGTAGGAGAGATTACCGACTTCTTTGTTTGTATTGGGTTGGATCCATAACACACAGTATGATAGTATTCATGCCTGGAAATGTCATTGGTGAGTAAATACAGAGTTTAATCTGCTTGTTTAACATCAGACTTATTATCTGTGGAAATAAGTTATTCTGCAAGTTTAAAGATTTTTTTAGCTTGACTATTTGAAGATTAGGGAGAGCTATTGTACTCACCCAGGTGTTAGTTTTAGCATCAACATCAACTTTGGTTAAGTTTTTTTATGCAAGTTGGTATCTCCAAAACTACTGAAGGAAGTGGGTTTAAACTTCACACAGTTATTTTAGAACATAATAGGGAGCCACTGTCTAATGCCCATTACTCTTGACATGGATTTTGACAGAATTATTATTTTCTGGGCTGTAGTTTAACTATCAAGCACTGAGAATAGTTGAGCATGTCGGTGTTTCTACTCAGGTGCCAGTTTGTGTCTGAAATATGGCATGGAAGTGCACCCGAGGTCTTCCTTCACCAGTAAAGCTGGAACGTGACCTATTCTGTATACTGTGTCAGTGTGATGTAAAATCCAGTAATTACACTATAATTATAATTGATGTCATATAAATCTATTTCAGGTAACAAGGGTTTGAAATGGTCATATTTTCTTAACGTCCCGTATGTTTTTTACCCAATATATGCTGGTGTAAGATGTCTTCGAATGGGAATGAAAAATCGATGCAGGATGGTGAATATCAGTTGTTTTTTCTCATTTAATTGGAAGAGGCTTTAGCCTCTTGATTTTGTGAAGAATTAATCGTTGAAATTGCTAATTTGGAAAAAAAAAAGCTGCATAATTTAAAAAGAAAATTTCAATTGGGATGACACCTTCTATAGGCCTTTGTTATACACATGTATAATAATGTGAAATATTACTGAATATGACACCCTGATGTTATTATGAAGATAGAATCTGCTCCGTTTGATGAAAGTAGCTCACAGAGTGTTTTTCTCATGTAGAGTACCTGTTGGCAATTGAAGTTATACACAAGGCAAGCAGAGTACCCTCTTCCACCAGTAAACATTGAAATTTACAGAATTACTGTTCAAGTTCACTTTATCCACATGACCCTTCCTTCCAAAAAGTTTTTGAAAAAATGTGTAAAATGTTTTCAGTAACACCCCTTAAAACTACACATTTTGTTGACAAGAGCTTTTGTTAAGGTTAGCAAACAATCTGATCTGGTTTTGTCCCATGGTCAGACTTCCCGCCAAAAAATTTCTAACATTTGCCAATGTCGTAATAAATCGGTCTTTTCCGGAACGTTATTTTTCACAATTTTTGGTATTCAATAAATCTTAACCACTTATAACCTAGCCTGAATGTAGTACACACTGACAAGGAAGAAGTGATTGTAAATATTCTGATACCCAAGATTTTGGAAAAATAACGTTCCGGAAATAACCGATTTGCTATGATATTGGCTGATGTTAGAATTTTTTGGCGGGAAAACATTACAGTGTGACTACCTTAAGATAGGAACCAAATATTATTAGTCCCCTACCGGTTTAACCGGAGAGGACTTTAGGTTTACCCTCCGTCCGTCTGTCTATCTGTCTGTCAGTCTGTCCACAAAACTGGATCCCGCGATAACGCAAAAAGTACTGAGAATATTTTTATGAAACTTTAAATTTGGGTAGATGACGGTCTGAAAATTATGCACATCTTTTTCTTTTCTTCCTATGTTGAAAATTCTGACTGCTATGGCAACAAATAGACTGAATTTCAAGATTTCTGATTTTAATTTTTACGCTTTTTCACTATAAGTTCTTTATTTCTTAAGGTGTTTACTTCAAACTTAAAATATAAGTTTCTGGTCATCAACCACATCATATGTTACAAGGTTTACAACTCTAGCACAAAAATTATCAGTAGTTACTTACTTTTCAGTGTCCTAAAACCTTTTAAGTATTTCTTAGTGAACACTACGTGTAATTAAAAAATGACTCATCAAATGGTGATTTTGCAGTTTTTCTGCCTTTTCTGACTATGTATTTGTTGTCGTTTTATGCTATGAAATAGTGTGTGATTATTTACAGTATCCCACAGAGAAGAAAACTTGGGAGAAAATTGCAGAGAGGTTGTTTGCTGTGTGGTTCCTGGCAGCAATTGTTATAGCTTCATTTAGATTCATAGTAAGTAAAGGGGAACCAGGATGCCATTTCATATTATTTTATGCCATGTTATTTATTTACTACATGTATAGCCTTATGCTTATTTTCACGAAAATTTTAAAATGTATTAAAAAGTAAAATATTGTCAAGTGAACAAAGAAAGTGATTTACACATTACAAACTGCACTTTCAATCCACGTAAATTACCAAATAAAGGTCAAAATATGCAAAATTGCCCTTACTTTGTTAATTATTGTTAGTCACACTGTATAAATATGGTAATAAATACTGCAAAATCAGTAAATCATTGAAAATAGCATGTAAATCATTCTTAAATTGTGAAAATTTTTTTTTAAATTTTTTTAAAAACTAAAGCACATTTTTTTCAAAAGTTTTATTTTCCTTTAATTTTTTTTTTTCCCCATCTGGAGGCCTTTTAAATTTGGCAAAAATTTTTGACTATGAAAATTTGGGTGTCCCCGGCAAGGGTATTATACATGCCCCATTCTAAAGGGGCAAGGGGGTGTTATAACTCAGGGTTGGGGTTTGACCCCTGACTTTTCCCCTTGAGGTTTCCCGGGAAACGATCCCCGGGGAAAACTTTGGGGTTTTTTCAGAGACCTTTCCGTGTTTCCCGCCCAACTTTGAGGGTTTCTGGTATTTAAAACCCGGTTATCCCAAAATGTGTCATTTCATACTCTGGGCATGTAAAAAGAACCAAGGGATCTATTTCAATAAGAGCTAGGGACTGGTTCCTGTGACTCCCTTGCATCTCATAGCTTTGTCTCTAGTGTCTTGTTTTGAGGTGAATGACCCTATTGGAAATAAGTGCTTGTCACTTTTCGTAGGTTATCCTTGATGGCTGCGGTCTAAAGAAAAATTCATCAATCAATATCATCTTCATTTTCAGTGCTTGCAGTGGGTTGCAAGGAAAAGATAACTCAGTATTATTTAAAAGAAATTGAACCATACCTCAATGACCCAACACAGTATGGTCGTACACAGGTAAGATTTGTTAATAAATATGTGTAACTACATCCAACGCATATTTTTCAACATTTTTTTTTGATTGATATTATAATCTAATGCAAATGAATTCAGGAAAAGAGCATCTTAAAAATGCCAAATTGGGAATTTAAGAGAAACTAAAATAAAAAGAAATTACACATCACATATGAATAATCTCTATAAATATTTTCTTGTATAAATAATTTAAAGGTTTTCCCTTTTGATCAAAAATACTTTTTCAAAAAAAAATCAACCACAACACAAATGCGGAGAAATGAGAATTGAGAATTTTATCCTTCTCAGTTGGGAATAAATATGTGTTTTTGCATTCGAAATGCTCCCTTTACACATAGTTACTCTTATATATGGGAAATAAGGTCCGTTTTGTGACACATTCCTTCTGAATTTTTTTCAGTATGGGCTTACTGTAACACTAGATTTAAGACCTTAAGTTTTTACATGCAGCTATCTACTCCAATGATCCCAAAAATGTTTTAATTTTAGGCCAATAACCAAGACCCAATAGCCATAACATGTCATTTTCTTGAATTATTATTCTGTTTCCGTTTCCTACATACTGTATCTCTTATTTTATTGTCAAGCACTGAGAATACTTGAACTTTATGTCAATCTAACCTCTTGGTTCTTCTTGCTTTTAGTGCAACTTTACGGCAGATGGCTATGTTTGCCTGTTATGCAAGAATATGCTTAATTTTTATGCTCCCCGAAGGGTGAGCGTATAGTCACTGCTTTGTTTGTCCGTCCGCTTTTCTTGTTGGGGACATGACTATCAATATGAAACTTTGTAGGTAGATAGATCCCATTGTGTTGAAGTGCAGTGCTAAAGAACCATAACTCTGTCGCCTAATTTTCGAGTTATTGCCCTTTGTTCATTTTTACACTTTGAACTTTGTGGACATAACTCTGACACTACAAGAGGTATACTTTTCTGTGTCCAAAACCTATTCAGGGAGCATCACCCAGTTCAACCGGCTCTTTTTCTTATAAGGTTCATAAAAAGTTCTCTTCATCGTTTCAGAAAGAACCTAAGGATATGTAAATCTGACCTTGCTTGAAGCATTTGCCACCAGTATAGAGCCAGGCCGATCTTGGCATCTATGCTGTATGACTAGGCTCTTTATTGTTGGCTGACCAAGTTCACATCTGTCCCTAAAGTTTCTTATGGAAAATTACTTAAAAGAAAGCTAAAAATGTCTGTTATAGAGATTCTGATTCATCAAGTTAAGATTATAAATTTGTCATTTTTTTTTTCAGGCATTATGCTATTTCTACTACTTCACTCCAGTGTATGTGGCCTTCTTTTGCTCGCTGATCTACCCTGGTGAACTCTGGGTAAAGGACTGGTCCCTTATACACGCTGGCGCTTCGATGCAGGCACAGTTTGTCTACATATGGTCATCTCTAAAATGGAGAACCAAGCCGGAGTTCCAGGTACCGGACACTGTCGAAGCTCGTTGTATATTTTGGACTGTAAATCTTAGCTTAGTGATTGTTCCACATCTTTTTGCCTGGTACTGCCATAAATCTGAGATTAGAGATTTCTTCAATGACTGTGTATCACCATGTGTATCTCCAAAATTGAAGAGTTTTCAAGGGGAGGGAAGAACTTTCCAGAAAGTAGAGAGTATTCAAAGGGAGATAAGATACATCCAGAGAACACCGGAGAAGAGTGAAGGAGAAACACCTACAAGGCGTGTAACAAGATCTCAAAAGAAATTGAAGTAAAATAATCAAAATATAAAACTCTCTTATGTATTACATAGCATTTATTACGGTTATTGTTTAGTATGAAGTAAATTTTGTCAGGTAAATATCTTGCAATGGATTCATATTAAATGAATTTAAATCTTAAATGTTTTTACATGACAATCAGAATAACAGTTTCACGTTAAATGAAATCATTTGATATACACATACCTAAAATAGGTTACAGTATATAAGATTTTATTTTTAAAATTTGTTAACTTGACTTCCATTTTTGGTGTCATAGTGCAAACTGGTTTGAAGTTTTTGCCTGGGGGTGTTGTATTCAGATAACTAAATAATGTTCATCAGGAGAATTATCAATCTCCTACATAGTGATCTCCCCTTATCATTACAATCTGCAAAGGGAGGTAATCACTGTGAGGAGTTTGGAGAATTATATAGAAGAGTAAAGTCAGTGTGCTCCAAGTAGTCAGTAGCAATTTGCAAGTACACACTTCTGAGTAATGATAAAGCACTTTTATTTATCATAGTTTAGTTAATGTGTCTGCGGGCGCCAACAATTTTCCTGGCAGCCTGGGCCAATGAAGAGCAGTGTATAGTTGTAAAAAAAGTTTTATCATTCAGCAAGCTTATTATTTTAAAGAAAATCCATTGACCTCCAAATGCCTAAAAATATATAATTTTAATTTCTTACATAGGTCAATATGGGCACTTAAACAGAATGCTATGCAAAATTTATTTAAGAAACATACTCTGAATAAAAATCGTTTTTTTTGTGTGTGTGATATTTTAGCCGGATTCAAGTGCACTGCGGTATACCGTACCCCGGATATTGCTCGATATTATGAGGACTTTCTTCCCATTTCGCGACTTTGAACGGGGAACAAAGGTAAGTTCAGCGACGATATTTTCCAAACTAATGGCTATTTCATTTATCTAAACGGGTTTTATATATCTAGAGGTATTGTTGTAGCTCTAAAAGACGTAGAAGTATTACAGGTATTTGTAAAATTGATTAAACTACCCCTAAACGATCCGCTGCTCACTAGAAAATACTGTCCGCGATACTGTAGAATCATTAGAAATTATTACATTACCAATATAAAAAAAAATGAATCGAGCAATTTTTTTATTCTCAATCCAAGTATGCCTTGTCCAAATTTCAGGCAAAAAGTGTGAAAGTACAAAAAGATACAGGCCAAAAAAGATACAAGAAAGTGTACCGAGTATTGATTTTAAGTGTACAGAGTATTGCAAAATAGCCCAACTTTAGTGTACAGAGTATTGCAAAACAGAATGAGCACATTAGTATGGAAAATCTATATTTTTGTCTAATTTTCACGTCTGTTTATCGATTCAATTTCATTTTTCTGATAATGTACTGTTTATATGATATTTATTCAAATATTTCAGATTCAACAATGCATTCTCAGTGTTATTAAGTACTGTTCTTTTCCTACGGGCAAATACAGAGATTTAATTTCCCATTTGATTGAAAATCACACTATGGATGAAATAAAGTGTGTGCAGGGTCGGAAGCAGGGTAGAACCATCAAAATTGACGATAAAAAAACTTTAAATACATGTCCCAAGAAACTTTGATCAAGGAGACACATGCATCTCTGAAAAGGACAAGAATAAAAAAACATATTTAGATGACATTAATAATAGGTTTTTACAGGGCAAGTTTGCCTTAAGAAACATATCGACGCACTTCATAAACTATTGGCCCGAGGGCTTATGCCGTCCAAGCATGCCGGTATCGTCTTTACCTTTTACTACATGAGCATAATGCGAAAAATGGCTGTTTTCATTGAATTATAATTAAGCCTCTTGTTACAAGTTCAAACTGCTATAAAACTATAAAAATGCTTTAATACTGATCAAACTGGGCACAAATGTAAGCTAGATAGCCTGTGGAATAGCACATCCCCCCTGTATAACCCCCTTGATGTACCTTTTTAATGGGGGTGGCGCCGAAAAAGTGAACTCTCTTTTAAACAACATTTCTCAAACGAAAAAACAGTGTTTGGGGCCTAAATAGCGCATATTTTACACTATTTGAGGCCTCAAAAGGGGTGGGGTGTAAAGCCTTCAAAACACGCCTTAATGAGGTAAAAGGTTATAAAGAACATAACCTTTTTTATTGCATCTGCTGCCCTTTATCATAATCTTATCAAAATCCATTACTCGGTTTTTTGAGCTGTACCCGCTCGGCAGTCATACGGTAACTCATTGCTAAGGCGTAACAAAATTTCACGTGCAGACGGTCTGCCGTTGCTAGAGTGCAGGGGCAAAATGCCCGAAAGTTACTTTTATATGGATTTTTGGCATAGTAGGAAGTCGGTGGCACACTTGCTTAATACCGTCTAATATTGACAATCTTGAGGCAGTATTAATTTGACGCACTTTGGATGCATTTTTTTACTATTTAAAGTAAGATATGCAATAATTATTAACAAATTCTGGAAAGGTTGATCCTTCGATAGCAACGAGAACATTTTAAACACAGAAAACTGAGATTGTTCACGAGCAGGAATGAAAATCTGGATTATTCGCAGATGTTTCCAGTAAAGTACCTCCGAATTCTGCATATTCTGCACATATAGTGTAAATAAGTATACACAGTAAGAAATATTTAAAATTAAATGTGGTAAATACTTTGTGTTTACTACTTGCATTTACTCTTTATTGATAACCAATACTCGTTACACTAAAAAGCAATACTCGTGACACCGGCGGGCAACTCCAAAGCAATACTCGGTACACTGACATGTGTATTTATTCTCAAAATGCACTGTCATCTGAGGTTCTATTGTTGATTGAACATATACAACATAAACATTATCATCGTTATCACATTTCACTCGATTCAAGTTTTTCTTTTAAGGATGTATATGCACAAAAACATCAAATTTGACTGATCCGAGCTCATTTATCACGTGAGCAAAGAGACGAATTTTACCTCCTAATTACATTTCAAAGCTATTTCTGAACATTTTTGGGGTTTCAGTACTTAGAGAAATTATCGAAGTATTTGTTTTTCTACAAAATTTATATCTAACCAATTCAAAATGACTAAATATCGTCACTAAACATACCTTCTTTCCTCGTTCAAAGTCGCGAAATGGGATGAAAGTCCTCATAATATCGAGCAATATCCGGGGTACAGTATACCGCAGTGAAGTGTAAAGCATTGCAACACCTTTTAAGGTAGTACACCCCTAATGCACTATCTCCACTTTGAAGAGTATTCAAATAGGCTAGAATCACTGTAAAGTCTTTTGAAACTGAGGGGGCGTGGGTTCAAACCCCAGAAGGGGCAACTTTTTTTCTCTCTTTTTTTTCTTTTTAACATTTTTTATTAATCTCTCAGATCCCTAATGGACGAAACAAGTGTTTCATTTTAATTATATAATTATTGTAGGTATTTATTTACTAAATAATGCAAAATTTAATAGCAAATATGATAGCAGATATTTTCAAAGTTTAATAAAATAAATACTACACGGTAAAAGTATTTTATATTTTGCAAGACTAACCCAATATACATTAAAGAAAAATTAGGCAAACTTTGAAAACAGCCCCTCATTGTGGAAAATTTTAGGGATATTCTTAATAAGGCTTTTACATAGGGAAATGGTCAAATAAGTGTTAAAAGTGGGTGGGGTAGGGTTACATTTTTATACATATTAAAAATATTTCGTTTAAAAACAATCATTTTGCTTGTTTAATTTGTTACCTAAATGTCATTATTTGTTTCTTAACAATGAGCAATAGGAAAACATTTTTCATAATGATGATATTATAGATTATTTAGAGTTTCCTCAATTCTGAAAAAAGCCCTTCTAATGGCAAAGTTTTAGTTCAGAAAAATGTCCATAACTCATAAACCACACGGTAAATTTTGTTTAAAATTTGCATACAGGTGACATTTAAGGCATATAACTGTCCTATGTTGTCCATTTTACAGTTCCTTATAGTGCCCATCAGGGGTGTTCTACCTTAATGTTAGGATAATTTTTCACAATCATTCTGGAAAAAGAAAATAAGAGAATGATCTGAAATTTTGCACACAAGTTATCAGTCTAGAATTAGATCAAATAGAACATAAATCTTGAAAAATTATTTCCATCATGTCAAAAAACATCAGTCGAGTCCTTTAATGCAAAGGCTCAATTATTTTTATACCCATTTTCATTTTTGTGAATTTCAGCAACTATTGCAAAAAACATTCAGGTATAATAATGAATTTGTTTTGTATCGCTGATTTAGTGATTTTACAACCTATGGATCAATGCTCCTACATGTATAATCATGTATTGTGATTTTTTTTTTTCTAATTTTGTATTTTAAATATCCGGATGAACTTTATTTTTATACAAGTAGTATTTTATACAAGTAGTATACATTTGTATTTCTGTTAACTTTATCAACAGTTAAATATAAAGTATATTTTTCTAGTATCTCATTTTGTTGTCGTTTTCATTTTTAGCTTGGCTTTTTCAAAAAAAAAAAACAGAGAGCTACTGCTACAGTCATGTTGTCATTGGCATCCGAAAACTTTAACATTGGTCATAATTTTTAGCTCACCTGTCTCAAAGTGACAGGGTGAGCTTTTGTGATCGCTTTTCGTCCAGCGTCCGTCCGTCATCCGTCCGTCCGTAAACTTTTGCTTTCAATGACATCTCCTCATAAACCATTGAGCCAATTTCATCCAAACTTCACAGGAATGTTCCTTTGGTGGTCACCTTTAAAAATTGTTTAAAGAATTTAATTCCATGCAGAACTCTGGTTGCCATGGCAACCGAAAGAAAAATCTTTAAATATCTTCTTTTAAACAACCCTAAAAGGTAGAGCTTAGATATTTGGCATGAAACATCTTCTAGTGAGTGTTTACCAAGTTTGTTCAAATAAAAGCCCTTGGGTCAAAATTGGCCCCGCCCCAGGGGGTCATTGATTTTCCCTATATGCATATAGTAAAACCTTAAAAAATCTTCTTTTAAAGAACCTAAAGAGCTAAAGCTAAGATATTTAGCATGAAACATCTTCTAGTGAGTGTCTACCAAGTTTGATAAAAAAAAGCCCCTGGGGTCAAAATTGGCCCCACCCCAGGGGGTCATTGATTTTC